TTCATTAACGAGTATTTACTGTACTTTTTTAGCGTTTTTTTGTAGCGCGTGTGTGGCATGTTTTGATGGCTTGTAACTGCTCAACTGCTCATGCATATTCATGCAAAACGACAGCCAGAGCAAACGAACCGTCGGGATTGCTATGGGGGGCTGGCTGGCTGCCTGCAAATCAACGCGGCCACAGTCGAGTGCTCACAAGGATGTCATCGAGGACTTCCTGGCCACCAGTGTCTGCATTCCTGCCGTCTGCATACCGCAGTCTTAGCGCTAAGGCAGCTGTTGCCGTCAATTTTCGTTGTCGGAATACATGAATATGCAAAAGGCCACTCTGTGAGCCGCGACTCCAAACTCAACTAACTCACTTGATGAGACAAAAGGTTGTGGTTTGGTTCTTGGCAAAAGGCAATCAATGGCCCAAAGCTGACGTCGAGTGGCTGAGAGAGGCTCTTTGGAAATCCAAGGAGTAACTGAAGGTTTTAACAGAAAAAAGAAGTTTTAAGTAACTTTTCCAATGTTAAAGACGAAAGTCCATTAATATTATGTTTGACAGATATTTCAGTTTCCGAACTTCCGAACTAATAACCTCTAAAATTCAACTTTCAGCTTCAATATTCTAGCTTAGATATTCTTTCCAAATCAGCATTATCTCCATGGATTTAAGTTACACTTTAGTAAAAGCTTCACATTATTATTTATTTGCATGACAAGAGCTTCAGATTATTCCAAAGATATTTATATATTGGTAAACTAAAGTCCTTGCTGGTCCCTTAGTATTATTGAAGTTTAGTATTACCTGCTGCACCTTAATATACATATTTTCATGCCAGCATCTCGAATGCATTGAAATGCATGCAAAAAGTTATGTATGCATTCATATAAGGTCCTGCAAAAGGAGCTGCTGAGGAACTTAAATACTTGTCATGGCAAATACTTCGATGTTGTTGCCGCTGGTGCTGGTGCTGTTGCTGTTGCTGTTGCTGTTGCCATTGCTGCTGGGCAACATGCAAGGAGCAACATCCTTCGGAAGTGGCAAGCAAATGTGTCTGTCAGCGTGTCTGTATATATGTATGTGCTCTATGTTGTTGTTCTGCATTATGTTGCATTTGCAATGCAAATGCTTTTGTGCTTTTTGTTGATGTCGCTACGACAACGACGACGATGAGGCTTATGTTGCTGCTGCTGCTGCTGCTTCTACTGCTGCTGCTGCTGCTGAGCCTTTTATTTCTTTATTGTGGCTGCCACATTGTGCGTCTATTCAGCAATAAATGCATGTGTGTGTGCGCGTCTTTCATGGAGAGTGTGTGCCTCTGTGTGCGTATTTGCATTTGCTTTTTACTGTTTATATTTCTAATAAAAATTGTACGTTATTTTATGCTCCGATGCACTGCACTAGGCATATTGAATAAGGGCAGCGAGTGCTGTCGCCGTGAGGAGCTAAAACATTATTGTACAAAAAACCCCGTTGGAAATTGGTTTGATATTACCTTTATCTGTATAATGAGAGAACCTTATTTTTGCGAAAAATAAAATTATTGACCTGGTCGAAAATTAATTTAAAAACTTAAGCTTCTTACCAATTTGTTTCCTTACAAAAAATCTAAAATTGGGTTTAAAATTGATTTTTCAAAATCAACGGGAAGTTTAACCAGATAATAAAATATTAATAAGAATAACATTTTTTCAGTAAGTTTAACATTTTTTGGTAAACTTACAATTAATCACGCTGCCATCTCCCACAACTTAGAATGCCGTATGAAAAATATTACTCTGAGCAAGAAAAACCCTTAGCGGAGTGCGTGTGGGCGTGGCAAGGGGATGTATTTTTTTGTGGGCCAAAGCAACTGGCTGATAAACACAAACAAACAACAAAACAAACAAATATGGACGACAACAGCTCAAATAGGCGACGGAAAATGGTTGGCGTTGTTCCCGTTTCGGTTTCCTTGCAACTCCCGTTGCATTCCATTAACATTACAAATGTATTCATTGTTCGCAACAGGCAGCGGCAGCGGCAGCAGCAGCAATGACGCCATTATGCGAAAATGTGACAAGTGATAGAAAGGATAATGCCACCCCTCATCCCCCTCTGCATTTTGCCGCCGTCACCCTCGTAGCGGCAGCGTAACTTTTTTCCACTACCATCGTTTTGTTTTTGCTTTGGCTTCCTTATGCGCAAGTGGCTTTATTATTTGTTTTTCTCGCTCGCACGCTAATATTACCAGATGTGTGTGTGCGTCTGTGTCGATGTGTGTGTATGTGTGGTGTCTGGCTTACTGCAGATGCTGCACTGCCACGCACAACAAAAACAAATGTTAGGGAAATTTCATTTCAGAAAGAATAAGGAATGCTCTTTAGGTGTAATATGGAAGTCAGAAAGTTTGTTTCTATTTTGAGTTTTTATCTATTTTTCTCACATACTACTACTACTACTACTACTACTAATACTACTACTACTACTACTACTACTACTACTACTACTACTACTACTACTACTACTACTACTACTACTACTACTAATACTAAATTTATTTATATATCATTAAGAATTGTTTGAAATTGAGCGATAACTCATACGAAATCTTCCCTTTGATTGCTGAGAAGAAAATTTCATAAAAGTTCTACAAAACCCTTAAATATTTATATTTTCCAATTCATATTTACTGATTTCTTAATAGAAAGACTTTCTACCCAATGGAAGGGCATCGAAAACTAACAACAACAATAGTAAAAGGATGACAAAATCACAGAATGCCAAATTGTTTTCCTATTATTGTTGCCATTGTTGTCGTTGCCATCATCATCAACGTTGTTGTTCTTGTTGTTGATGTAGCTGTAGTTGTTGTTGTAGCACTAGTTTGTTTTTGTAGCTTTTGCTGTTGTTGAGCTTATCGTTATTTAAATTAGCATTACAATGCACTCACACTGTGGCACACACACGCACACACTTTGTGACATGGCAACCATATTGTTGCTTTGGGAATTGTTTGGTGCAACGAAGAAGGAGACGGTTCTGCAACAACTAGGTTGCACTCCCATGACATCCCGTTTCATGCCACACCATCCCTTTTGTAGTTCTTTGCGATTGTTTTGCAGCATTTAATAACATTTTTAATGAAATCAGGAATTCTTTAAAAGCGATTGACAATAAAATACAATCAAATGGGGGTTTCAAGGAGCTATATTTATTGATTTGTAAATCTTTGATGTAAAGAAAAATAAATATAGTCTAATACTAAAATTTATTGCACTTCTTAGCCAAGACTCAACCCAATCGAAATCATGCTCAACATTCAATTATCTTATCTTTGCTTAACCTAGGTTCATCGGTTATCGGAATTATTTCTATACTTAAGGTGACCATGTAATCTTCTTAAATTTCCAATTTAAATTTCATTTTATTTACATAAAAAACAAATTGAATTTCTATTTTCGATCTAAGCGAATTTATGTGCCCATTCGTGTGACAAATTTGGATTCAACCATCGGACTCCCACTCTCCTCCTCTTTTATATAATATAATAAACATCAAAGATCCAACGGTTGAGTAAGCTCCGACGCGTTTGAATAGGAAGAGCTTCCAAATAAGAAACGAAAACATTTATAAATTTCACACAACAATGCCATTGAAATTGCACAAGAGATGCCAATTGATGGACGCTAGCAAAGATACACACGAGTACATAAAATGTGTCTAAGCAACAATTTGGCATTATCCGGCTTTGCCAACTTCCGTTTATGCAATCCGTATATACGGGAACTTCGGGGCCAAAACTTCTATTTGGAGAAACCTATGCTGGAAAGAGGCAAAATCCACTTTGATATTATGCAATCGTGCGCGGCGCTGGAGTTAGGTTTTTGGAAGCAATGGAAGGGGAGTGCCCTGCGTAGTAATGCCTTACAAATGCCAATACATTATTCATGCTCAAAGCCATGACATTCGGCACCGTCTCGTTCTTAGAGTTTGCTGTTCAGACAGGTGTGCAAAATAACTGACAAATACTTTACAGATGCCACCTTTTCACAACTATTTGTTTGCACGGAATTCTAACCATGCCAATAATCTTTAAACTACTTACTTTTTAGTTTTTACCATTTCCTATTTGATAATAAACTGTGCCCTTTTGAAATCTTAGTTCGTTTCGCTTTCAACTCAAAAAGACTCAAAATAAGGTTCATGAAGATAAAGATCATTCTCATTTAGACCTAAACATATTCCCACCCAAAGGTAATTCAAGGTTTAAATTCAATTTTTAATCAAAATTCAAAATTTAATAGTGACATTGTGTACTGAGAGCGTCCGGTGGTATTTCGCTTTATGAAACGCTTCATTAAATTGTTCTATTACCTCACTGGCATTTAATGTTTTAAGCTTAAAATAAACAAAGAAATAAATTTTAATATCATCTGAAAGAGTATAACTAATAAAAACTTACAGGAGGATGCTGTTCTTTATTAATTTTAGCCATCACTTCATCCTTTGTTTTTTGAAATTCAGAACTTGAGTCGGAGACGCTAGTAGCCATAGCCACCTAAAACAAAAGCCGTCCAAATTATTTACTGTATTTCTTTAGTTCGTGTCAAATCTTAAGGCATTTGAAATCAATTAACTTACAGCGAACAGGGCGAGCAGAAGGAAAATCACTGCAATCTTTGCCATTTAAAGTTTGGTTTTTTGTTGCTACTGATGGGGGAACTCTGAAATGGAGAACGTTGACTTGAGTACTGATTGAAGATCTGCCAATCTGCTTATAACAACACTTCGTATTGCTTCGCAGCCGCCCGTGTTCCCGAATTCAAGAATTGACCCGAGTACGGAATTGACCCGTGATAAGCGTACTTTTTTCCGTCATCCACTGGAATTTCTTTGTCTCACTGCTTTCGCTTCGCTTTGACCGGAGAATCTATAATTTTTTGTACTCTACAGGTTACAATGACTATAGGCTATTATTAGTTTTTAAGACATGAACATATTTCCATCAAATGATAATTCAACGCTCAAATTCAATTTTGATCAAGATTAAACATTTATTAGTGACATTTTTGTGTACTGAGTAAATTGAGCTTTATAAACGCCTTATTTGGTTGGTGGTGCTACGGTTGCTTTTTGCAACTGTTCATTAATGAGATTTCCTAGGTTCTGGAGACCCTTTAAGGTAGCGTTTCCGGCATCTTTGGCAGCATCGGCAATTGGTTTAAACTTAAAATAAGCCAAGAAATAAATTTTAATACCATCTGTAAAAGTGTACTAATAAAACCTTACTTCAGGTTTGTTGAAATCAAATAATTCCTTGAGCTTGACCAAATTATCATCAATTTGTTTTCGGAGTTCAGCAATTGGGTCGGACTCGGGGACGCTAGCAGCCATAGCCATCTGAAACAATAGCCATTCAAATTATTTACTGTATTCCTTTAGTTTTAATTTAAAAGAAATCAACTCACGGCGAACAGGGCGAACAGAAGGAAGATCACTGCAATCTTTGCCATTTTAAGTTTGGTTTTTTGTTACTACTGCTTGGGGAACTCTGGACTGGAGAACGTTGACTTGAGTACTGATTGAAAGTCTGCCAAACTATTCATAACGACACCTCGTTTTGCGTCGCAGCCGTCCGAATTTTCGTGTTCGAGCTGGGCTTATCGCCACTAGGAAGGCCGAGCGCTTAGAGCTATAAAACTGACCCGTGATAAGCGTACTTTTTTCCGTTGTCCACTGGGATTGCTTAGATTCACTGCTAGTAGTTCGCTTTGATCGGAGCATCTATAATTTTGTGTATTTTACAGTTTGCAATGGCTATAGGCAAGCTATTATTAGTTTTATTTTAACAAATGTTAACCAAACTTTAATATGTCTATTTAAGTCTTTGAAGTGTTTATAATATGTCTTATATTTGAATTACAAAATTACAAACTTTCATTCAATAATATATGCACCTTATTATAATGTGTCTTATTTTTTAATATTCATCCAACCCATAGCCCTTTAGCTAGTTCTAAAGTTTTATTACTAGCTTTATAATATCATTTAACATGATTAAAATAAATAATTTCCCATATATGCAATACCTACTGTAAATATACAAATGCTTATCATCATCGTATTGCCCCAAAATGTTTGTGCTGAAGGCCTTCTAATGCAAAACCCGGAAAGAATGTTTATCAACTTTCCATATGGTTTTTTTTTTATAAATAAAAAGCTTTTAATTTTTATAGATTGCATGTTCAAGTGTATATATATATGTATTCCCATAAGCATTTAATCGTATTTACCATATATATATATTCTAACTATATATTTTGCGGTTACGGCAGCATCCGTCATTGAGCAGCACGTGGCTTGTGATAAGGTTTGTTTTTTTTTGTTTGAAAGCCTTGATTAGGCGCCCTACATTTAAGAAATTGTGCAAAATCATTATTATAAGTAATGTTTCTGTGTGAATTTCGAAAATAAACTTGGAAAATTCCAACGGCTAACAAACTGAAATGGCTTTCGGATAGTTTCGATAAGCAGTTTCAGAGTCCCAAGAGAAAACAGATTATATTACGAAACCCCAGAAATAGTAAACAATATTATCTCAAGTTTTTTAAAACTCTCATAATTATTCGTTTTAAAGGCAAGCTTAAGCACGATTAACTTATTTTCGGTTGAATCAACTTTTTATGGTTATTACTTCATAAACTGTGAATAAATTTAGGAAATTTAAAAATAGTTGAAGAGGTGAGCTAGAGGGGTCAACAGCTTTTTGTGTGTATTTAAAATCTTATAGACTTTCAGTTAATGATTTGCAATTCAAATAGAATAATTGACACACTGAGCAAATAAAAGTACAGTTCGCGGATTTCGACTGACAGATAGAGAAGGTTAGGTAAACGGTTAGATAGTTTAGAATATGAAAATGTTGATGCTTGAGAAATAACAGTGAACATCAAGTTTGAATTCTAATTAATGTATTTTGATTTAAGAACATATCATGATTAGAACATAATGATAACCATTTATATCATTTAATTTAGTTCATTTTTATTTCTGGCAACAATCTTCCATAATAATGTTATTAAAAATAAAATATTTACGCTTGTAAAACTCCACAGCTTTTATCACGAGTAATTTTTAAACATATAGCTCAACTTGACGCTTATTGTCAAGGGCAATCCATTAAGACCATAAATGTAAAGTGCGATGTTGAAGGGTTTTTCCCCAACCAATTTTAGCCAAAAAGCAATTGGTCTATGAAGGCAACGAACTGAACAGCAAACAGAGCTCAAAGTGCATGACTTTATGCCGCGTTTTGGTAATTTCCCCCCAGAAACCCAAACAAACCCAATTAAGTGGCAGCAAAGAGTCAGCCAAACCAGATCCCCAAAACCACTAATAAATTTTCATCTGGCGCAATGAAAATATTTAATTGCAATTTCGCCAAGTGGCTAGAAACTTAGCCCAAATGGACTGCTGGTCTGCTGGCTTGCTCTTGTCGATGGGTTGAAGTTCTCCTAGGGCACTGAACTGAGGATATGCTCTGGCACCGGCGGATGACATTGGTGCAGGGGTGGTCCCAAAGTGGGGTAAGTTCGCAGACGCAGTAGCTCCAGTATCGTCTGCAATTCCAGCACATGGGCATAGTGCCGGCGCACATTCTCCATGAGCTGACGATGCGTCTTAATCTGGGACATTCTGCGGGTGAGAAGGTTAGCGTTCTTATCAGTACAGAGAGAAGAAAATGTAATAGTCAGGGATAAGACTAGAGTTAAAAATCAAATTATTCATGTCAAATCTAACTTCAGTATTTTACCACATTCTAAACCTTTCCTAAGCTCAATCGAAATGGACAGACATTTAGTAAATTATAACTAACAAAAATTGTTTACAGTGTTTAAGTGCACATTCTTATTGGAATAGTTCACTCACCGCTCTCGCTGCTCGCGATCCCGCTTCTCCTCCATCATGGTATCGCGCATAGTGTTCTGGAAAGTGACGTCGACCTTGATCCGCTCGATCTTTGAATCGATGGCGTGACTGCTGCGCTTCACCTCCAGTGTCATCGCCTTAACCTTATCGATTTTAATGCATCTTGGGTGACAACAAATTTAGTTACCATTTTCAAAACACTTAGAAATTAAAACTTACACACGATCAATGTTCTTTTTGAAGACAGAAATCTTCTGTTCTATCACTCGTTCGATAGCTCCGGCTATGTACTTTTGTCGCTCTGTCTTGACCTTGTCCCAGTTGCGCAGGATGTTCAGGAACTCCATGGAAACCTTGCATTTTTCAATGGCATCTAGCATGTACTTAAGGTAAGCAATATTTGCCTTGTAAAGCTTGTGCTCCCATTCCTTGAAGATCACCTGGCGTCTGAATACTGCTACTCGTTGCATGGCTTTAATCTTTTTATTTCCGGCTTCCTGAATATAATTTAAGTTAAAATCTTTAATCGATTATTCCATTTATTCCCTACATAAGACTCACCTGTATCTGACGATTCACATCGTTGATGTCGTCAATGTGCATCAAAACTGTGTTGGAGAGCTCTGAGAATCTTCCCAAGACCGAGACTTCAACTTGACCCTTTGTCAGAGTCAATTGGACCGTCATGTTTCTCATCTTTTCCAACTGTAGGAAAATAGGAATAATATAAAATGCTTTATATATAGGAGTATAAGAGTTTAAACGTTATTTTTGAGTAGGAGCATAGGGGTCTGTAAGTTAACTGCCCAAAAGTATGCTATAAAATAGTTCCAACTTGTTGAATGCTAAAATGGCGTATTTTCGTCGTAATCTCGGAATATCTCTAAAATAATAGTTAGTTCTGACTACATCTTGAGAAAATCTTACATAAGTTTGAATGCTCTCCTCGGCGTTACGCTGTGTCAGCACCTTGGACTCCTTGAGCGCGTTAAGATCCTTATTAAGAATACTTAAGACAGCTTGGCTATCGAGCAGCTGATAGCTGATACCCTTAAGTCTCAATTCGCTTTCAGTCTTTTGTCGTCGCAACTTGACAAAGGCATCCCAGGATTTGGCATCCACCTGTGGCGGACACTGTTTGGGCTGATCGAATTCGGCAAGATAGTTAAGAAACTCAAGGACATCGTCGGGCAGAGGAAAGGGAGTACGATGGCTAGGTTTCCCGCTCAGCTTATTGGAGGCCTCCATGCAAATGAGTACCGAATTGAAGACCTTGCCAGGTAACTTGGGACGCTTCTTGAAGAGCTTGGTCATCTCGTGAGTGGCATGGGGAACCAAAGGTAGAAATTGCCCACGAAACTGACGCTCTACGGTTCGATCGCGGGTTTGCTGGGCCTCTAGACGCGTTTTCACATCAAGAAAAGCCTTGTCATAAAAGTCCAACAGGTCGCCATAGCGCGTCATATATTCGTTCAACTTGTCAATGTCCTTGCGGAACATGCTGAATCGTTTACGCAATTGGGCTCGGCCGAAGTTGATCTGCTCCATAGTTAGCATCCGTATTTGTCCCTGTTTAAGTGCAAAGTCATACTTCAGCTTCATGATCATCAGTTCGGCGACACGCTGGTTAAGTTTCAGGATATGGTTTGCCTTCAGGGCCAATGTTTTCTCTTCGTTTTCGTGCAGGATGCGTAGGTACTTGCGACGGTCTAATTCCAGTAGGTGAACTGCTTCCTCATATGCTCGGAAGATCTTCTGCTCCTCAAGATTATACTCGTGTGGCTGCTTCTTTTGCATGAACTCCGGCTCTGGTATGTCCTTCTTGATCTCCTCCTCCCATAGCTTCTCCAGCACCCCATCCATCATCACTATTAAGGCTCGGGCCCAGAACTCGGTGCTCCACAGAAGCATTCTTCCCTTCTTGCCACCCGTGTCGATTGTCTTGGGTTTTCGGCGATTAATTGCCTTGATCTCGGAGTCGTCCACTTCCATGATCCGTTTGATAACCTCGTCTTGCGCCAACGAGGGAACCGTGAGTTCTGGCGGCTGAAACTGATCCATATTGAGTAGACGCAGCATAATGTTCATATTGTCATAGATCTTGTTGAGTACCACATTCGTGTTCATCACGCTGTCGATGGTGTCCTGCTTGAGTTGCTGAGCCTCGTGGAAGAGCTTGTTGAATTCCTGTTTGAGTGGATCGTGCAGATAGTAACGAATCTTGCAGTTATAGTTAAAGACCTGGTTTGAGGTCACCAAATTCTTGTCCTGTAACTGAAAAACGGGCGCCATTACATGGTCATAAACACTGTGTCCCTCCACCACGAATGGTTTTAGCTCGCGCAATCCCTTGATTTCTTCCTCGTGCTCCTCTAAGCCCATATCATCATCTTCCATGCCCGGAGGCGGACCATGACCTCCAGCTGCGGGTGCGGGTGCAGGTGCTTCTTCCTCTTCGAAAGAGCCCAAGGAAACGCGAAGATGATCCTCGATGTCGTAGAAACGATACTTGTCAAACTCCGTCATTTCGACTTTGCGCCGCACGGAGAAACTCTCAAAGTTGGCATCCGCAAAAATAGACCGTACACGATAGTTTATGCTGACTGCATCACGCGTCACCAGACGCAGGATCCAGTCTCGAATCCTTGCCTGATCTGCAATTGCCTTCTCAAGCGATTCCCTCTCCAGGGCACACAACTTATGAGCCTCTTCCGTGAGAGCATCCAGCCAGCGATAGTGGAAGCAGAACTTCTTAAAGATGCCACGGGTCTTGCCTGTCTTTGAGATATCATAGTCGATCAGTGCCGTCACCTTGGCGGCAAAATCCTTAATGCTGGCCAACAGCTTGTCGCGCTTTAATAAATCTGCTCTTGTGTACACCTCTTTGACCTCCTGCCGCAAACTCAATGGCACAAAAATGTCCACCTTGTGGGTTATTTGTTCAATGTAACACGGAATGCCCTCCTCCGTGGGCAATGGTAATGCCACGTTTTCACGTACAAAGTCCGCCAAGGAAGGCAGACGCATAACTCGCATACTCTTGTTCGACAACAGGATAATAAGGAATCTGCAGATGAAGTATACTATTTAAATATCCATTTGTTAAAGGTGATCCGTATTACTCACTTGGAATTAAAGCATTCTTTAACCCGCAATAGGTACTCCGCCTGTATACCCACGCAGAGAAAACGACAGATCATGAAAGGCTTTTTGGCCCTCTTGTGCTGCTTGAAGTGAACTAGGATACCCCCAAGACTCCATGTGACTAGATGTTTAGTCATTCCAGCGCCCAGGATGTAGCTAAAGTGTCCCGACTTAGTAGAGGCAATCCATTGCAAATCGTCTCTCTCGTTTAAAGCAAACTGATCAAAGTTTAAAGTATTGTACACAGTGGCCACGATCTCGATAAGCGCCCATCTTCCCACCGGCGGTTGGACGCAGAAAAAACCGTATGACTTCGGCAGAACATACTCTCGCCTGTGCAGACGCTTGTCCTTGCCCCAATTGTAGAGCCAGAGTTCGGTGGCAAAGCCAGGGCGCTTCATGGCGCGATCTCTATTGATAAAGACCATAAGACGTGGTCCATCGGCCAACAAAAAGGTGTGTACGAAAACATTAACGAGTTCCGGCTGGTTCATGTCGAAGTAGTGCGTCAACTTGTGCGGCCTGGTGTCCACCTGGACGACATGTAGGGCTGAGATCTGATCTTGAACTACCATCCAGCTGTCATTGAACTCTAGTCCAACGATTCCCGCTGTATCCACTCTCAATTCGCAAAGAACATGAGGTAAGCTGGCGCGCTCGAATTGGATCAAAACAATGCGGGCATCCATAGTGCCCACAGCAACAATGGCCAAGGTGCGGTGATTGCTCATGGAACTAGCCCCAGGTACCGAGACCTCGCAAAGGGCATTACCTTTGGCTAGGTCCATCATGGTCACCCCATCATCGTGCAGCACGCAAACACACTCATCCTTAAGACCCGGAATCACCCGAAAGGTGATTACCGGCCGTCCCGTTGGCACGACGCACTGCAGCGATACTGTCCCATTACGGTCTACTATCACCTGGTCAATGTGACCGGGACGACGCTCGGTGTATATCTCGCCATTGCTGTTGCTCAGAATGCGAACTACATCGTTCAAAAGACCCTCCAGTTCCCATTCGAGCTGGAAAGAAGTAATGAGTATATAGTAAAATTATAACCTCGCAGGTTGTAACCTACTTTATAGGTCCCTGCCTTCTTCTTCACATAATAGGCGGCCGAACTGTTCCAGATGATAAACCCAGATTTGTGGTACGTAATGCCATGGGCGCGGGGCACTTCGACATCCGTTTCATAAGTGGGTTGCCACTGGTGTTTCATAGCAAAGCAGGCCACATCCAGGATAAACAAGTGACCAAAATCGTTGGTGGCATACAGGATGGTATCCTCGCCGAAGCAGAGGCAACGTTCGCAAGACTTAAGGAAATCCTTGCCCAGATCTACATCGGCCACCTTGTACAGAAAGGACTCCTTCTCAACGGCACAGATATCGTAGCACAAGATGGTCATTTCCTGTCTATTTAATTGTACGATGGAAGGCAGTGTGGTGTAGCTTACAACAATGCCGCGTGCTACAGTAGGCACATTGGTGGGATGTTCCAGGACAACAGCTCCAGTGCGGTAGTTAAAGACACACAGATTATAGTCAGGATAACCCCCCACGGCGATCAGAAGGTCCAACTCCGAGAAACGAATATCGGTATAGCTAACCAAGTAAGCTACAGAGGAGATGATCACTTAAAGAATATACGTCCAAAACCGAGAAACTCACGTGGAATGATACTGAATTTGGCCATATCTGGATAGCGGTAGACTAAGATATTTGGACGCAGGGTGACCTCAGCAAAGGCGAAAAGCGGGAAACGGTTGTGACCAGCAAAGGCACTAATACTTATACCCGAGGCCACCGTGTCTGCCTTAAAATAGCTGACCACCTTCGTCTGCATGTGGACGAACTTGATCGCATTGCCATTCCGCAGGCACAGGACATCGGGACCCACATTCGTAATGGTGTCATTGTCCCAGATGTTGCACCAACTATGTATTGTATAATGTGGCGTGTGTTTATAGGATACATTTGTCGTTAGCTTACCAAACTGCTGATGTTATATTCATTATTTGTTTCTGTTTAATAATAAAACGTTATTTTGGGCTTTTTGTTTAACTGTTTTTCGACTGCCAGTCAACAAGTTTTAGGTTGCTAAGATAACTATTTACCTAGTCAGGCTTGTTCTGTTTCCCAGGACAACATTCTTTGCTTTTAATTTTATTGTTAAGTTTTAGTTTTAACATATTTTTATAAAAAAATTGATCTTTTCTCATCAAATTAACTTGTCTATTTTAGTTTGGTTCGCAACTACAAATTGGTTTCGACTCCGTTTGATGGTCACCTTAATTATCGATATAAGCTCGATAACCGATGTTAAGCTAAGATAAGTTCATTCGATTGTAGGCAATTCGATTGCTTTCATTCTCTTGTGGCGAATGGCAATGACTCTTAAACTGTAATACATTACTAAGAGCTTAAGACACAGTTTTAATGATAATATTAAAGACATTTTTTTTTCTGAAGCAATTTCAAACTAAAACGTACTTACAGTATCATATTAACAACATGGCTAAGGACGATCTAGAAAGGCTATATTCCCCCCTCACATTCTGTCACCAAATTTCCCAGGCGACAACTTCTTTGACCCAAGTAAATTGTCCTGCCCACTTTGCCGGAAAAGTACAAACAATAAAAAGTCCTTGGACTATAAAAAGCCAACGCCTTAGACAGCCGCTGCCTTTGGCGCAATTATATTTGTTTGTTTTTTCCCTGGCTGAACGTTACTTTAAAATTTGATGCGGCTTGTTATTTTTATTGCCGAAGCGTTATGGTTAATGGGGTTCCTTTCTCTCCGGCTCTAAGCGGTGATAGGTAATTTTTTACGGGTCGCCGGGGTGTCGTTGTTTCATGTCTGCGGTTATTATTAAATTTCAAACAATTTCAACCAATTTCACAATTTATATAGATATATATTTCATTTACAGACATACTTTAATGTTATTCTTATAAATGATTGAATATTTTAATTGAATAATTGGGAGTTGAATTGAAGGCTCAGCCGTTTGGAAACATTTACAAAATTTACAATTTTCTCGTTTTAAAAATGGCCCAATCTAATGAGGCAAAATTAGTTTAAATTGGCTTAAACACACATAAATTAAATCACTTTTCTATCGATTTATTCCTAGCGGATGGCAATTAAAAGCATTTTAGCACAGATTTTCATTTACATGAGACCATAAATTACATTAAAAGCCCGAAATATGTTTAAATAAAATCGTAAAGCCCGGCTCAACACCGACAACTAATGGCTAACAACAAATAGAATGCATGTTAAATTGGGCTAACAACGGAAATGGTCTTTAGGCGGTTGGGCCCAGATTTGTTTGCTGGCCATATAAAAACTAATTTGCCGGGTTTACTATTTAAATTTGTTAAACATTCCGCACTCTAACAAATTAGGTTTTTTTTTTTTTTAAAAGTGTGGAAGCCAGTGTAGAATTTAATATTAATGTGGGGATTTCCCATTCACGAAAACTCTCTCCGACACCCAAGTGGAAATGCTAATGACTAAAGAAATGGGAAATCCCAGGACTCGGTCCATGTGGGTAAGGAGCAGAAAAAGAGCTCGGGGTGTTTTGGGTCAAAAGGACAACCCCACTTTGTTGTTGCTGGTTCCTTGCCAGACGCTTAGCCATCTGCCAGCCAATTGTGTGGCCTATTCAGCTGTTGTTGACAAGACGGAAGGAAGGAATTTTCAGCACATCAGCGCAATCTTTTCTACAAAGTTGCCTTTTTTACGACGGTCGCTACCTGTGGAGGATGTGCCGTGTCTTTGTTGACGTCGTCTGGCCTTTATAAAATATTTATTACCGCCACCTGAATGGGATGCTGGGCTCCCTCTACCATTTGGATGCCTTGGGATGTGGATGCCATTACTCCCCGGGTGGAGTTATTAACATGTTAAGCAGATAAGCAAAAAATAAAATTGTGAAAAATTGCTGGTTTCGATGGACATTTCTCTTGATGGAAAAATGCATTCCATGGGTTTTTTGGTTTGGAATTTCTAGGAACTTTTCAATCCCAAGCAATGAAGATGTTTTTTTTTTAGATTTTTTGAATAATATTAAGAATTTAAGTGGCCAAACAGAAGTTTGGATACGTTGTGGATAAAATCCATCTGTGGTCTGTCTGAGGCCTTCGACCTTCGGGTCATTCGGCATGATAACTCATAGCTTGGCCCCTGACGTTGTTAAACATATATAACATATATATCATATATATCCGATGCTTGGCACATGTACGCAATTATCGGATGACATAACTGCTGCCAGATGATACCGATGCCCCGGGGTGTGCCAGAGGTACGTACGGGGTTGCAGAGTGCTACTTATGGTACAATAATGATTTACATTGCATAGTTAATGCGTTTTTAATGAGTGCCTGCATGCTATTATAAAAAAGTTGTGTGTGTCTGTGTGTATGTGTGTGCAGCGGAAAGTTGTCACCAGAGATTTGAGATTTCCCAGCCGAACAATGGGAAAGTTTTCAGTTTTCCCGGCATCGTCGTCTTGCCGCAAAGCCGCCTTAAGCGTTTTGTGAAAAGTTCTGCAGCACTCGCAGTCATTAACATTAAAGACATTCCATGTTGCCAACGTGGTGTTCGGATGGCGAAAAAGTTCGCCCCTCATATGGGAAGGCAGCACTGCAGGGGCACATAAATAATTGAGTGGCGCCCCAAAGTAGGCAGCAAAGTGCACCCGGCAAACTGCAAACTGCAGACAGCAGGTGCGGCCATCGGATGTTAAATAGGGTGGCTCAGTGGGTGGTTGAGAGGGTGAATCAGTTGGGTGGATGGATAGTTGGTCTAGGCGTCCAAAGGATGAGTGGGGTAGCCATCCAAGCTGCTTGGTTATGCGAATGCTGTGGGCTGCATTTACTTAAATGGAGAAGCCGCAGGACTAAAGCGAATGGGCGTGTTCTTGATTTTGGTTTTCTATTCGCTTAAGGATATTGCATTAAATTAAGGCCAAATTGAAGAGATGCCATTAAGGCAATGCCATTTACAGAAGTTCTAAACAATTTTCCATAGGAAAGCTCATGCCTTCTATTTGAAAATCAGGTAATGCCTGTTTTTTCAAATTGATTTTGAGGAAAGTGCCTTTAGGGAGTGCTCTTGGGGAATTACTTTAAAGCTTCTTTTAGAAGTTTATTTTTAATTACATTTTCTATTTAAGATAAAGAAATACTAAGCCTTTCTATTATACTTTTTTATAGATATTTTTCAGCTATTAAAATTCCATTTAATTTGTTTAAAAATTACATTTAAATCAATTGCTTTTGTCTGGCTCTCCAACGAGCTGTTTATTAACATTTCGTAGCTGGATTCTGTTCATCTCACGCATTTTTATTTTGCAGAACTGGCAGCTGATTATGGTCTGCTGCTATGCATTACAAGAGCTGTTGTCGCGCAACTCGTTAAATTTCCATCAGGGAGCGTGTTGTGCACCATATTGCCCCTAAATGTCACCCAGCCGAGGACTCAGCTCCAGCAATGAACTCTGATGTCCTCACGTATTCGCATGATATCGATTTGACTTACAAAACCCATACAACCAAACAAACACACACACACACACAGCCACAAGCTCGCTTAGCTGTCACACATGTCCGTAATTGATATTTTATGAATGAAATGTAAACACTTTTTTTACGATTCCCAGGCTAAAGAGTGTCATATTGGGTACCATAACTTTCTTATGGCTCTCACTGAAGCTTAAAATCTACTAAACCACAAAATATGTTAAATGTTAAAAAGGATTGTGATCATATCTTAACTTACTTAGAATGTAATTTAAGCTTTGGTAGCTAATTTATAACTTAATCTAAGTACTTGTATTTGGTATAAAGAATCTATTCTGTTTCTTAACATAGCCTTTGCTTCGAAAACTTAAAATCAAATCATTTTCTTTAAGCATATTCAGTTAGTTTACATTGTCCAACCAACTTTGAAGCTCAAAAGTTGTCAAAAACAAAAAGAATTACCCAACTGGCCGGGTCCAGAGCGGTCGTCAACGCCTTTTGGCCTGCACACAATTGCCCAGACCCATAAAAAGCCGAGCGCCGGCGAGCCGTAAAGAGCTCTCCAAAGCACTTTCATATCAATATGTGTAAACCATTAAACTCCACAGGCCCCAAGCTTTTAACCCACAAGACCATTTATAGATATACACAAATATATATACAAGCTATATGTTTTCAATTCATTTTTGTGTGAATATTAACGAGGTAAGGGTTGGGGTGAAATGGAATTGTTTATAATGCAAAAGCAATTTATTGATGATGTCTTTTAATCGAGTGTTTTCCCAGCGGTTTGTTGTCTCTGAAAACGTTTATTTTAATTATTCGAGTTGTGCATGCAAAAAATGCAGTTTTGTGATTTCTCTCTTTGTTTGTATTTAATAAGACATTTTCTTTATTTCGGGTTTTTCATTGGAAATATTTTACTGGCTCTTTCTCTAACATCTTCAGCTGCCAATAGTGCGTATGATTGATAGTGGCAAATTTATGAGCTCGACTCAATTGTGTGTGATTTTAGTTTGGAAAATATATTCCTCTCTTATTTGATTTAGCTTAGTCATCTCGTTTATTGCCTCTCCAAATAGAATAACATTGAAAATCTATAGCAAAATGAAACTAAATGTTAGTACAAGTGTGATAGATTCGGATGCGGTTGGGCACTTAAGTAGCTGAGAGATACTTGATCCATTCCGTGGCTACACTTGGTGGCCACACAAGGCGTGGCTTATATATGTCAATGACAAAATCAGAAGCGAGCCTTGTTGTTTAAACTGCTGTTGGCATATGCAAGAACCACTACACACGATGATATATGATCTGGCTGGGAGACACAATTACCCAAAGGCTCGGAGATCCGTGAGCCGGGAAGTAGGCGAAGTAATTCAAATGTGCCTGCCATAAATCACTTGCAAACTGGGGAAATCTGTTTGCAGATAAGCTGAGAGCGGCAGTAGGTTATTGAATCTGTGCCTGCTTTGGGATTAGA